ACCGCGAGGATAACTACTAGACCGGCCTTTAACCTACTTTTAATCGATAGAGGTCCTATTAGAGGAAGAAGAATTATCGACGTAAGGGTAGATAGAGTAGGAGCTAGGAATTTAATATTCTAAGAGTAGTACTAATCCGTATAATAGCTCGAGTAAGCAGGATTTACTATTAACGAGGAGCAGAAGGAGCTAATAGAGTTAAAGGCTAGCCGTCGCTTCCTAACTTAAGATCTAACATTCGATCTAGCTATTAAAATCTATAACCGTTACTCCTACGTTAACGCTTTATTAATTTAGAGCCGGTCTATATAATCCTATTAGAGAATTGTCGAAGTATACCGGCTAATAATATCGTAGTAAAATAGTATACCCCGACGAGATAGTAGTAGATAGTAATAGAGAAGAAATAGGAACGGACAAGTAGTACGAGCGGTATTAGAATAGCGATAGGAACTTCTAGGTATGTTTCCTATCTATATAAAGGTATGCGATACTAACGGGAATAGAGCTATATAATCTAGAAGAAGAACTTCTATAATATCTATAGTAACTATAAGTTTTATAATTAGGCTTATAGCTATAACCGTAGGGACTTACTTAATCGCTAGGATAGAGATTAGGTACGGCCGAAGCGTAGTATATCGTAGGTAACAAGGTCTAGGCGTACTAGTAGTCGCTAGAGAATAGGGATAGTAGAGTACTAGTAATAGGGCTTAATTAGGGTAGAGGGTAGTTTTTAGAGAGGTAATTAGGGCGTTAAGGGTATCTAGGGGAGGAGGGAATCTCTTTTAAGTTCTTTATACTAGCGGCTTTAAGCGTTAGGAGTTTCTAATAGGTTACGAGGGCCTTAATTATAGTACTTAAAAACTACTTTTAAAATATATTTTCTATTTTATAATTACTTGCTTCTATACCTAAAATATAACTCCTCCTTGCTTTATATATTCGTATAATTTGTCCCTATAAATATCCTACGATTTATATTACTATCGCTCTATATTAAAGAAATATACTACCCTAACCCTAACCCTATAGTTTTTAGCAAAGTTTTCGCTAAGATTTATAACCTCTTACTACGCTAATTCCTTTCCCGTCTACCCTCTACTCTATTATACGCACATTCTATATAATAGGCCGCTCCCCTTCTATCCCCCTTAATCTTTATCTAAAAGTCGTTAAACTCTAGAATAATAATACGAGTATTACCGACATTTAAACCTTCCTTTATTTATAATAGCTATATACCTCCGAACGGACTATCCGTATAATCGTCGTAAAGAACGGTAGCGAACCCCGATAGTCGTTAAAGAACAGTCTTTACGATAATCCCCTCCTTTGCATCCGAATAGCCGAACTCTTCTACCTCGAAGCTCTACTAGATACGTATATCGTAGACAAATTAAACAAGGAGGGATTTACGATTAAGTACTATACCTTTATACGGTTTCGGCGGAGTATAGGTATTAAGAAACGACTAAGAGAAGGAGAGTTCCTTAAGCGTTAAGAGAAACATAAAAAGATTATAAAGAAGGAGATTAATCGCTCGAACCTTAGAGTATATAGAACAATATTACTATAAACATACTTCCGTATAACCGATCGTACGCGGCTTGCGCTTAGTAGGTTAGTATATTTATACGATATATATCTATAGGGTAGAAAGGGGTAGAAAGGGGTAGAAAGGGGTTTGCTAATATACTACTATATCGTAGGAAGCGACTATACGAGATAGCCCGTAAGGTCTATCCCGCTAGCCCGTATAATAGGGCTACGAAGTTTATACGTCGCCGTAGGAAGTATATTACGCCTAGCCCTAATACAGTCTAGAGTATAGATACACACTATAAACTTAAGGACTATAGCTTTTAGATCTATGCTACTATTAATGCAGACATACAGTTTATTCTATATACCTATCTTAGACCCTCTACCCGTATAATAGTATCTATACTATCTAACTTTGCGAAAGCTTGTAAAAAGCTTATAAGAGTACCTCGTATTATTCGGATAGATAAGGGTAAAGAGACACTCCTTATAGCGCAGGCTTAATACTAATACGTAAGGATTATTCGTAGGCGTAAAGTACGCTTTCGCCGCTACTTTGTATTTAGAACAAGTACTACTAATGTCCGTATCGAGGCATAGTAGAGCTAGCTTATATAAGGAAGGTTTAAGGTATAGTATATAAGTATATAGAGCATATTATCTATATATGCTTTAGTAACGCTCCCGTTATATCCGAATCTAATTATACGGGTTAGGCTAATTAATCTTAATATTATAGGGCTTCTTTATAATATTAAAGAAGAAGGGGTAGTTTTATAAAGTAAAGAAGGCTAACCGCATTA